AGTAGTTTCGTAGTCTGGTTAATTTCATATGTGTACTGATGTACTGGGGTCTGAGATTTTAGCAATTTGGGAAGGACTCATGTTAGCACTACAGTGGAGCAGTTTACCAATTGACATTGAAAGCGACATCTTCGAGGCAGTAAATATGGTGAGAAGCGGAGAGACAAAAGATAAAAGATACTCCCTCCGTCCCATAATGTAAGACGTTTTTTTGACACTACACTAGTGTCAAAAAAACGTCTAGTGTCAAAAAAACGTCTTACATTATGGGACGGAGGGAGTAAAAGATAGCATGTCTGAACGTGGTCCTTGTATTACTCATACTCGCCGTGGTTGTAATTCTTCTAGTCATGTTTGACCAAACTTTGGGAGGACTCAGAGGCCGAACAGCTGTATGGCTTGGATATTGTTTTAGACGCTGTTAAGCGTGATTGTACTTTTATTGAGTAATACAAGAATCAATTCGAAAAAAAAACCGATGGCCGAGTTGGGTTTGGATGACCAATGTGCAGCGAAGCTGGTGTACTGTTGCAGGTGTTGCAGGTTATACATACATGCATTTCACCCACGGAAGAAAATTACTGACCGGTCATGAAATACATGAGTGTCTTCACAAAGCAATAAAAACAAGTGGAAGAATTCGATGGGTACGGCATCTATTTTCTGTCAGACGCATTTACATGGCAAATCTTAAGAGGATAAGACCAGTACAATTCTGGCATATCCCGTCGGCATCATCACATCAACGCGAGTCCAAGTGTTTTGTAGTCGCATCCTGACCTCGCTGCTACATTCCAATGTGGTACTCAACCGCTATATTCCACACCATCAACTTTGCCAGAATGATACAAATCACCCGCGAGGGGACCCGCCGCCCTGAGCACTGTTATTTCAACGGATTTGAGCGTGGACGTTTCTTGTTTGCTTGCATGTAAACACATAGCTACAGGCATCCTTCTTCCCACAGGGACCACATATATTAGGATGGGTGATGCAGGATTTTCATTCCAGTTTATTGTTGATGGACTTTTGAATCTTGATATTGTATTGATATTCAGGTCATAGTTAAACAAACAAGATCCATGAGCACTAGCACTCTGGACATTATTTTTTTATAGAAGAAGCTCATCCGGATAAGATCGCAAAAATACGCCCCCCATGAAGGTCGGACTCCTATCTGCAAGGTGCGCCAACCTTGCCACTGGGTTACTACCCCTGTTCAGGTCATAGATAACAAGGTGAAAATACTTGAATCATTCACGATTGATCGAAATAGAGATGGCTAAAATGCACGTTGCGATCTTTGTGCCATTTAAACGCATAGCTACAGGCATCCTTCTTCCCACAGGGACCACATATATTAGGATGGGTGATGCTGGATTTTCATTCCAGTTTATTGTTGATGGACTTTTGAATCTTGATATTGTATTGATATTCAGGTCATAGTTAAACAAACAAGATCCATGAGCACTAGCACTCTGGACATTATTTTTTTATAGAAGAAGCTCATCCGGGTAAGATCGCAAAAATACGCCCCCGATGAAGGTCGGACTCCTATCTGCAAGGTGCGCCAACCTTGCCACTGGGTTACTACCCCTGTTTAGGTCATAGATAACAAGGTGAAAATACTTGAAGCATTCACGATTGATCGAAGTAGAGATGGCTAAAATGCACGTTGCGATCTTTGTGCCATTTAAACGCATAGCTACAGGCATCCTTCTTCCCACAGGGACCACATATATTAGGATGGGTGATGCAGGATTTTCATTCCAGTCTATTGTTGATGGACTTTCGAATCTTGATTTTGTATTGATATTCAGGTCATATTAAACAAACAAGATCCATGGGCACTAGCACTCGGGGCATATTTTTTTTATAGAAGAAGCCCATTCGGGTAAAATCGCAAAAAATTGCCCCTGACGAAAGTCGGACTCCGATCTGCAAGGTGCGCCAACCTTGCCACTGGGTTACTACCCCTGTTCAGGTCATAGATAGCAAGGTGAAAATACTTGAATCACTCACGATTGATCGAAGTAGAGATGGCCAAGATGCACGTTACGATCTTTGTGCTATTTTAAAAAATGAAAACAAAGGTTATTTTCACCCTTGTGCACTTTGGAGTTTCCCGGTAGATCTAAACAGTAATTAATTAACACGAGAATAACAGTTATTACCCCTAAATATTAGTTTGAGATACAATTTGCCCTACTTTTCCGATAAAGCATGATTTTTATTGGCTCAAAATGAAGCATCAAGAGGATACAAACACAATAAGCACACATCCGACCTTTGGCCCTCTGCATAGTTAGAATGCACATAGCCAACACCAAGACACGCACATAAAAACATGCCAGCAAATAGCGAAATCATATAAGACCAAAGTTATGCGTAGGCGAAAAAGAAAATCCCAAAGCGATCAGATCCGCGATCAGCAAACTACCACAATAGCCATATCCGCACCAACCATCTCATGACACCACACGAACGACGAGGCTCTTCAACAGCAACGCCTTCAGGAAGGAAGCGACGCTCGAGCCGCCGTCACCGGATCAAACCACCAAAGGCCAAAATGTAGATTTTCACTCTGAACAACATGTCCGATCATACCAAAGCAGAAATTCCTCTTAAATTCCCGATTTCTCAAGTTTGTTCCACTATTTTTACCCCTTTTAGATTATTTTTCTCATTCTACCTGGTGGGGTCCACTATTAGTTCGACTTTACTATCCGAGTTAACTTCCATATCGGTAGCACATTCTTGCAAGGCGCGTCTGACAATGATAGACGGGAATGGGGCGAGATGCTTAAGCCAAACCGGCTCCCACGCCTTGGATTAAATCACACTTGAATAAGTCCTCTCCCACCCCCACCCCCAGTGCGACCAAATAATTCAGATGTGAAATGTGGATGGTGTTAAAGTTGTGTCGACATGGTTGTTGTTCCATTGGTTCGCGGAGGAGATAGGGCACAACCTAGCAAGAATGAAGGGATGAAAACATCTTAGCCACACAATTGCTCCTCCTTCTATAATTGCCAACATTCAGTCGGATGCTAGGTCACCTTAGGTGCGCAAACATAGAAAGTGTCTATGTTGCACTAACTTGTACATGATGAAATGAGGATGAGGATGATGTTCAACCTAAGGGAGTTGGTCCGGCTTACCTAGTTAGGTTGCAAATGCCCTTATGTCGTATCAATGGCGCACCATGCACATTGCACCTGCAGTTTGGAGGTTGAGTCAGCCAGTCTTGTTATACTGATAGTGGAGCCCATCTGGCAGAATGAGGCAAAACTCTAAAAGGCATAAAAAGTGGAGCAGATTTCCTTAAATGGGGCATTTTGGAGGAAGTTTTGCTAAATTGAGTAAGGGGGGGATAGTTTCCATTTGTTACTAGAGTTCTTGTTTAGTCGACTGTTAATTTACATGTATATGACTTCCATTTTGTTGCGGTAATTTCGTGTTAGTACTTCAATCACATCACAATTATGCTACCTAGTTTATTGGGTGTCCACAATTAACTGTGATGTAGTTCTAGGTATTGCATTCCCATATTCTATTTTGGATTGGCTCACAGATAATTGTGGTCTCAATGTAGTTACGTGTTATAATATGGGAGATTCTTGGACTTTGCGTGGTCACACACAGAAAGATGCTTGCTCTATTCGTAACATGTATATAATGTGGTAAGAAATATATTGCCCAATATATATAAGCCACACACCATACCTACTCTAGACATATGTCATGCACACCTTTGTTTTCTTGCAAAATAAATAATGCCATTATCTTTCGGTCCATACATGAAGAGAATGCACATGACCAATACAAATTATAAACAAGTTTTCTTTGCGAGAGAAATTATAAATAAGCTATATATGTGAAACTTATATCCGTCGAATTGCATAATTAAAAATTACCAGACCATGGGTTAATAAATACCCTCACTTTCAATTCACGATGAGTACTTACATTGGCTGTTAAGACCAACATGGAACGAGCCAATGCATGCATGTGCATTTTGGTAAACGGCTGTATAAGCCCACATGAGCGTTTGCTTCTCTTTTAAACAACCCTTCGTTGGTATGCATTGATTTTCTGATATGCAAAATTATATTCTATTTGTTCTAAAATATTTCAAGTTCTATATTTGTCCCAAGTCAAACTTTTTAAGTGTGGCTAATACTAAATATAGTACTCCCTCGGATCCATATGGATCGGAGGGAGTATGAAAATATGTTTTATAGTAAATATAATAAAATTAATTTGGTGTTGTATATGTTGATGTTTTTTTATATTTGGTCAAACATCAAGAAGTTTCACCGGCAAAAAAAATATCAAGGAGTTTGTTCTGAGCAAAACTATAATTTCATAAATGAGTACAGCTTGAGTAGCACTGAGAATCTGAGGTGTACTCTTTATTTATTTATTTGCCCTGAGGTTGGCATTTTTTTTTTGACGGGTCCCTAAGGTTGGCGGTGAATTTTAATGGAAGAGAACTTTTTGTAGGGGAGAATGGAAGAGAAATTAGTCAGTCCGAGAATGACTTTTTCATTCCCGGCCGTAGCCGGTCCCACTGCCAGCGACGTAGGAAAACCACTGCAACCGCGAGAGCGACTGAGAAAGGCCCGTGCGTCACGTAGCCGAACGGAACGGCCCTACCAAAAATCCAGCAGGAGCCAATCAGAGGCCTCCGCGCTGGATGGACATTACCCACCAGCCAATCAGAACGCAGATAAGGCCCGCGAGTGCGCCCAACGACGAACCAAAAGTGCAAAGTACACACGACGCGGGCCCACGAGTAAAGCGTACGAGCCGGGGGCCCACCTCCGCACCTTCTGCTATAAACCTAGACCCGCGATATTTTCGCCGCAAATATATTTTGGCTCCTACAGTGAACTGCAAGCAGCCAGTGCGCGACGCGGCGCGCGGTGAAACGGAGTAGCTAGCTGGTGCTGGTTTGGTGCGGCGCGCGGTGCGCCAGCGGCTTTGGTTTTCGTTTGATGAGCTGCTCGGGGAAGGCGGCGGACGGCGCGATGGGGAGCAAGGCGGCGCGGGCGTGCGACGGCTGCCTGCGGCGGCGGGCGAGGTGGTACTGCGCGGCGGACGACGCGTTCCTGTGCCAGGGGTGCGACACGTCGGTGCACTCCGCGAACCCTCTCGCGCGGAGGCACGAGCGGGTGCGCCTGCGGCCCACGTCGCCGCTGCTCCCTGGAGCGGCCCCGCGGGAGAGGCGCCGCGGCGACGAGGTCGTGCCGGCGTGGTTCAAGCGCAAGGCGCGGACCCCGCGCTCGCAGGCCAAGAGCGTCGGGCGTCTCCTCTCGAGGCGGCTCGTCGTGCCGCAGGCGTCCGGCGTGGACTCGCCGGAGGAGCACAAGTGTGACGTGGAGACGGACGAGGAGGAGCTGCTGTACCGCGTGCCCATCTTCGACCCCGCCCTCGCGGAGCTCTGCTCACCTCTGACTCTCGAGGAAGCGACGACGGCCGTCGCGTCATGCTGCAATGAGGATGGTGCCATCGTTGAGAACCCGACGAAGCCAGCTGCGACGCCGACTCCGGCGCCGGTTCAGTTCTTCCCCGACAGCCTCGTAAACTTGGGCCCGACGGACGCCGAGCTCATGGAATTCGCCGCGGACATGGAGGCCCTTCTTGGCCGGCCGGGCATGGACGACGGCGACGAGGAGGAACCGTTCTGCATGGAGGCATTGGGCCTCATCGAGCCGACGGACGTAGACGGCGGGGGAGTCAAGCTGGAGATCGACCCCATGCGAGCGTGCGGCCTCGAGCAGAAGCCGGAGGTGTCCGGCGATATGTTCGACATCGACTTCGACTACGACTCGCCCCTGGGGACACCGGACGAGAACGCTGCAAGCAGCGGTGCCAGTGCGGACGCCCAGTTCACCCCGAGGAGCCTTGCGCTCAATCTAAACTACGAGGCCATCATGGAGAACTGGGGGAGCTCGCCGTGGGCCGACGGCGAGAGGCCGCACGTCAAGCTCGATGACTACTGGCCACACGACTACTACTCGCTGCAGGAGGGCGCTTGGATGATGGGAGGAGTGGTCGGCCATGGCGGGGAGGGGTTGGGGACGCCGAGGCTGAGGATGGACGGCGGCAGGGAGGCGCGGGTGTCGCGGTACCGGGAGAAGCGGCGGACGCGGCTCTTCTCAAAGAAGATCCGGTACGAGGTGCGCAAGCTCAACGCCGAGAAGCGGCCGCGGATGAAGGGCCGCTTCGTCAAGCGGGCCAACGGCGCCGGAGGCGACGTGCCCGTCGCCATAGCCACGGCGTGCGTCGCGTAGCTGCCGATCGTGCAATGCTGTCGGTGTGCATGCATGACTCTGCAGGCTGCGTGTGGGCTCGCCATGAAATGGCGCGCGCGCGCGCACACACAAAACAACTCGTCGAAACTGCTCGTAATTTAGTTACTTTCCTTTTTCAGTTACGTTATGGTGCATTCTGCTGAGTATCCAAGGAATTTCAGGTCGCTCTCATCAGCTAGCTCGCGCTCGCTAGAGTCGAAGAAATGAATAATATTAAGTTTTCCACTTTAGATATATGTCAGCCGACTGAATTTTTATTTTGGATCAGTCGAATTTGTTACATTGATTCAGTGTGCTTTACGAAACGTGTGTAAGAGATCCTCATGGATTTGACTGATGCTGTTATTTATTCAGTCGATTTCCTGCCTTTCCTTGCTAAGTGCATGATGCAGCCCCATGATGTTTCCACTTCGTGACTCTTGCACTCACATGGATGGATGAAATGCATGAAAATTTTATTGTACGTGCATGCCTTTTTCCTTGTGCTTGCTTCTGTTTTTTGCACGTGCTTGCTTTTTTTTCCTTTTTAGTTAAGTTTTTTTATGTGTATTTTTAGATGTTGAGTGTGTGTGAATGTATGCATGCAAGTACTACATGTATATGCTACTCCCTCCATTTCATAATATAGTGCATATAGATTTTTTGATAAGTCAAATTTTGCGCACTTTGACCAAAGCTATAGATAAAACTATTTATATCTACAATACTCCCTCTGTACCAGTGCATAAGTCATATTACGAAAACCAAATAATCTCAAAACACTTAGGCGCGATGCATTAACTCTCACCTTGTTTCTTATTTCTTGACATTAATAAAGGAATCAACCAATAAGAAACGTGTGCGTGTATGTTTTTAATGACTTGAGACTACCTAGCACGGCATGCAGTGGTTGGTTAGTTCATTGCATGCAATGATATTAATTAACAAATAAATATTAAGTTCTCTCGTTTTCCCCTCCGCCTTGGTCGCGGTGCACAACGTAAGATGACTTACGCACCAGTACGGAGGGAGTACTAAACATATAAAACAGGAAACTATGTCTTATGATGAACCTAATGATATATGTTTGGCATTCTATATGTAAATGTTTTCCTTCACAAATTGGTCAAAGTTGATGAGATTTGACTTTAAAAAAAGATGCACTACATTATGAAATGAAGGGAGTATATTAGAGTACAGAAATTTCAATATATATGTTTCTTTCTTACATATAAGAAGTGCAACTTTTGTACTAATTGTGTGGAACTTTTTTGTTTTAAGTTTTTATTTCGCTTTCTTTCTTATTTAAAGGTAATACCAATGAAACTAACTCATTCCTTCTTTTAAACTTATTTTTATGTAAATTCTATTATTATACATTTGTTCATTCACACACACACACACACACACACACATATATAAATATATATAGGAAAAATCCATCCTACCACCTGGGGGTAGTTACCCCACATGTCTCATATACTACCATGTGGTACCTTATATACTATTTTATCATTCTATATATGTTCATATACTATATATAAGTTATTTCAAAACAAGTTACATGAAAAAATTGCATATGAGTCCATAGTTTTCGTTATATTTATGAAATACGTACATATCTGTACGTAAAAAAGAGTATGCTTAAAATATGATACATGCTACCTAAAAAGTAGTATACATACCACATAAACATCGTTATATACTACATACTACACGTACATACTCTCGGTTTTGACAGATACTACATACAACATATAAAACTCAAGTG